TTCTCGAGCTCGTGCCAATTTCTCTCTCTGAGCAGGTCTATCCGACACCTTTTTACTCCTGCCCGATCAAGTGGTTCTACTGCCTCAGGAGGAATCCTTGCGTCTAAGATCGGGAAGTACAGTTTGCTGTAGCCTTGCACTGTCTCCACAATAACATATTCCATTGTGGTTCGCGGAATTAGACGAACTGGGACATGTTCACGGTACAGGCTTCTTACTGTCTCCATGATCAGCGCCAGAGTGGGGGTGCAGTCGATCGCCTTGGATGGAATCTGGCAACCACCTTCTCCATTCGTCAACGCAGAGAAGAACATTCCTTCCTCTGAGCTCGAGCACAGCACTGTGACCAGGCACCTCTCGACTGTCTCCATTTGGTTTCCTTCCACCACTTCTGCACGCTGACTTTTATCTGAGATTCTCCTGCTATCTTCCTCTCGCTCTCTTTGCTTCCTGATCCCGGATCCCGCAGAGCTTTCCAAGGGCGAAGACTCGTCAGATTTGCGAGTGGCTCCGTAGTCTTCCACGCAGCATTCACTGCCCAATCTGATTCTTGACTGCGATGATTCTGGGTCCTGTGTTAACTCCCGAGCTTTCTCCCGTCCTCTTGGGGCTGCTGTTGAGTCCCACTGCTTCTGGTTATCCTCCTCTTCTCGGATCCCTGGGAAAGGCATTGCCAAATTCCGTCGCCATGAACGCGTTGTGTCCCCTCTGTTCCTCCTGCTCCAACTCTCCTCCCTCCCTGGTTCCCAATGCCCATTGTTGCCTCTGTGAGATCTTCTAATCGAGCCTCCTCTTTCGTCCCATCTTGGAAATCTTGGTGAAGACACCCCTCTACTCGAAGCCTGTGGCGCAAAGATTCTCCAGTCATACGTTTCCGACAGATATCTGGACTGGGGGTGATCGACCTGGAGCTGCTGCCTACGAGGCGATGATGCGCTGAGTAGTGAGTTCCACCCCCTGGTCCAGCTTCCAGTAGGTTGGAGTGCGGATCTAGCCAGCGATTATGCGCCTCGGTAGGTGTAAGTGCAGGGCCTCCCCAGGGAACTTCGATGTACCCCAGCGCTTGCTGGGTCTGGAACGTTACACAGCGGACATCCCTCTCTTGCTGTCCACGGGCGAAGTAGCGACTGTGGTGGTTCCAGCTCTTGCGTATCTCCCCACCTCTGCGACCTCCGAATCAGATGCTCCTCTCGATATCGGGGAAAATTCCTGGTGCTTACTTGCTGCTCGTGAGGTCCCCATCTTGGAATTTTTGCGCTGTATGTTTGTCGTGTTTCCGAAACTGCTCCCTGCCTTACCCCTCGTGAGACTTGGCTGGAGGTTCGTGGCGCTTGGTCTGCAAAAACTCGTTTTGTATCTTGATTTGCCACCGTGGCGAAGTCCATTTGCCTATCCTCCCCTCGCATATAAGCCTGTCCTGATCCTGACTGTTGTATGGCTCGACTACCCCCAGATCTCACCGTTGTCCACTGGGCGGAGCGTCCTTGGCTTTCCACATGCTGACGATAACGCTCTTTGTGACCACCCTGACATTCGCCATTACCTCGGTGCCCCTCCTCGTCTGTGTCTTGGACAGTTGTCTTCGGTGTGGTAGTACCAACGAAAGTGGTGGCACCAATCCGTACACGGTGTTGCTATGTCCACTTTCCAACGCTCTCCTTCCGGTGATTGGATAACTAGATCGTCGTCGATTCTTGGTCGGGCCTCGGGATGCATGTCAATTTTAACATTCATCAGCTTCGGCCAATCTCTGTCAAACTCCAGAGGGTGCATGTCAATAATCTCCCCCAAAAGCGCAATCACTCCACTTCTGAGGAAATAGTAGGTGTCCAGTGTTAGTGGTGCTGATAAGAGCAGACACCACTAGCACCTGGGGAGAGGCTCCATCTATTGGTGGGGAGCATCACCTGCTGGAAAACGGGTCCAGCGTCCCATATACAGACTGAATTTGAAACATATCAGAAAACAATTGTGGGAGATTCCCGCCAGCATTGATTACCCTGGAATCCAGGGGATTGACTGAGCAGGATATTGGAAAGAGGGGGGAACCTCTTCACCCTGAACCCGACCCTAATTTTCACATATCTCTGATAAAACATCCACCATTCTTACCCACAACTATCCTCTGGTCCCCTTACCTGGTGTAGCCTTGGTGCAGTTACTTCTACTCTGCTTCTACTCTCCCAAACCCGCCCATCTCTTTCCATTCTATCCTTAGCCCGTAACCCCCCCATACCATTCCATTTCAACCAGAGCTAAGGGAGGGGGTGGGAAGAGATCCGCAAAGTCTGAGAGGGGCCGGAGCGGGATAGAGAGATCAATCTGGGTCCAATCCTGAAAGCATAAGTGGTAGTCCCTTTCCCCTTCATCTTCCCCCCCTTTCTCCCCGCCCTTCCATATTACCCTAAGCGATCCAACCCCCCTGTCCCCCGCCCAGCCAGTCTTTACAGAACCTCTCAATGAATTGACTGATTTCTTGTTTAGAGTGTAGATATGTGATTTTTTCTTTGAATCTTTCCCATTGAATGGAAATGTCCTCCTGTATTTGTTCCTTCATTGAGTTGATGAGCTCAGTTCCACGCACCCCTTCCATTTCGAGTGTGCATCGTTTCCACCAGATGGCCCAGATAACCGCCCTGCGCCCTATTTTAAACATATTTTCTTCAAAGGGGATGGCTTGCTCTGGAGCCCACGCCAGGGGCACTCGCAATGTCATAATCCAGAACTTTGTTCTGCTTCTGGGACACCAAGCCCCTGCAGTTCCAGTTTTGAAAGTCATGGCTTGAAGGTGACAGTACTCCTTGTCCTCCAGCTTGAGTCTGAGTTCTTTCTGTTGCGCCAGCCAAGCAGCGATGCCTTTGGATTTTACCACATAGGAAACTACATTCTGGCCTTCAAACTTTACTCTGCCACGCCTTGCTTCTGATTGAAACAGTTTCCTTGTGGTCCAACCGTCTTCGTATGCTCTAATTAAGTCTTCCTTGACCCCTCAGTTTTCTGGCCTCCCCCTGAAATATGACCACAACTGATCTTTCTTTCAACCATTGCTCCTTGACTCTATTCACCGCTTCATTCACCACGAATCTCCTCCCCTCTTCGTCCTCGACTACCGTGCCTAGATTTTCGTCATGGGGACACACCCCCTCGTCATAGCAACGCTCGACCGAATTTCTTACTCTTTCCAGTCCATTCAGAGCAGCGTTTGGTTACGTGTACCTTGTCTCTCTCCCTCCCTGTTCCTCCATCTGTTCTACTTCTTGCCCCTAATCACTGCTATTCCGAGAGACCTTGTGGCGGGTAATATCGATGGCATGGATGACTACAAGGACCGGTTATCCGAGAGATTTTGTGGCGGGTAATATCGATGGCACGGATGACTACAAGGACCGGTTATCCACTTTGTGCTCGGTTTCAAATAGTTCTGAATTATCTATGGCTTAGTTCGCAGTAGTCTGGGCGGAGGATGAATAGAGGGAGGTGCGGACCGACTGAATTGACTTGGTGCAATTAATCGGTGGACAGAATCCTGCAAAGGTACTTCCTGACCATCGGCAAGGTGCTACTTACAACTCCGAACCAAGGAGTCGATCCAGCAGTGCCTATTCGATCACGCCTTGTGTTTAAGGGGTTTGTTGAGCTAGGCCCCATTTGTTTCTACTCAATCCGAGAGCAGCCAAGTTCGTTATTCCCTGTCCACTGCGGACGATCCGGCCTGCCCTGCCGCTACTGAGATGGAGGTACCATGGTATGTTTCCAGCTGCCCTGCTACTGCTGGGGTATGGACTTACCACGGTAAACTTCCAACAACCCGGCCACTACTGATCAATGGAATTACTACGGTAATCTTTTGAGTGTCTTCCTGACTTAGCAGTGAAAACGTCATCAGCGTTGGGCAATTACCCTCACTTTCCACTCCGATCCAGGGATTCGATCCGGATTGCCTGTTTGATCTCACTCTGTGTTTGAGGGGTTTGCTGATCTATGCCTCGCTCGATACCACTCAATCCGAGAGCATTTGAACTCGCTGTTCCCTGCGCACTACGGAGGATCGAGCCTGCCTTTCTGCTACAGAGATGGGATTACCATGGTAAGTTTCCAACTGCCCTCCTGTTACTGGGACCTGGACTTACCACGATAACTTCCAACTGCCCTTCCACTGCTGAGATATGGACGCTACTAAGACCTGGGCTTACCATGGTAATCTTCCGATTGTCCTCCTGGCTCTGTGGTGAAGTCGTCATCAGCATTGTGGAGTTACCCTCGTGAAAGGAAGATGGATGAAACTCTTAGC